TTGATGCCTGGAAATTTTATTTTTCAGATACAAAGTTATTAAGAAATAAGTGTATATGATAGAAAGTTCAGCTATTGCCTGCTCTAGAAGTCTCTCTTATCTGCCTCTCTAGATACCTAGTTTTCCTGCCTGAAGACAGCTTTGTTGCACAGCTTCCAGGATGCTGGGTGCATGTAAAAGCAAATGAACATCTTTTCTGTAGAAAAGCTATCCCACCTATATGAGTTTCAAAATGCAGGCTTAAAATTGTTATTTGAGTTTTAAAAGAATGAGAAAATGAGATGGAGAAAAAAAGCAGAGTATGGTTTTCTTTTTCTTTTTTTTTCTTTTCTTTCTTTCTTTTTTTTTTTTTGTTTTTGTTTTTCTAGACAGGGTTTCTCTGTGTGGCCTTGGTTGTCTTGGAACTTGCTCTGTAGACCAGGTTGGTCTTGAACTCAGAGATCTGCTTGCCTTTGCCTCCTGAATGCTGGGATTAAAGGTATGAGCCGCCACCTTCCAGCAAGTCAGTTTTTAATGTGCTAGTTTTGTTGAGCCGTCAAAGATAGAGAATCTAACCAGACTATGAAGACCGTTTGTACTTTTTAGTGCATGTGGATGGGTGAGATCACCTCTGCATCTGTGTGTGGAGGTCAGGGATCAATTTTCTTTCTCTAATACTCTTCACCCTAACTTTTGGGAAAGGATCTCTGCCTGAGCCTGAAGCGCTCCACTGTTTTGGCTAGACTGGCTGGTCTGTGATCCCTGACAGAATCCAGGAGTCTCCATTCTCTACTCCATTGCTAGGGCCATAGGCAGGGGCGCTTTTGTGTAGTTCCCATGCTTGAGCTGCAGTCAGTTTACCCTCTGAGCTGTCTGCCTGGCTTTGTATATGCTGGACAAGTACTTTTCCACTGAAGTGCCTTCCCAACCCCTTTGGATTACATGTATTGGAGAATTTGGAGAGTTTAGAACATGCTCAAGGATTGATTATAGCCTTATATAATGGTAATAGGTCCTTTTGACTTAAAAATAATAAAAGTTTTCTTTACAGACAAAAGAAATAGCCGGGCGGTGGTGGCGCACGCCTTTAATCCCAGCACTCAGGAGGTAGAGGCAGGCGGATCTCTGTGAGTTCGAGGCGGGGCTGGACCAACAGCCTCCAAAACAATACAGAGAAACCCTGTCTCGTAAAAACCAAAAAAAAAAAAAAAAAAAAAAAAGACTGTTTGCTGTTGCATTGGATCGGGTCTCTTGGTGATTTTTAGGTTCAGAATTTGGGCACACTATGTTTCAGTTTGGCTGTATAAAAAAATATTTCAGGAATATCAGAAATGGCAATAATAGAGCAATAATTTTGTACCTACTGTAATACAATATATTATGTCATAGGTGATATCTTCAGGAAGGCACCCAGGATCTAAGTTAACACATGGAAAGAAAGGGTGAGTAATTCTCAAAGTTTCTAAGTTCAGGAACTCTTAGATAAATTTTCAGGTCTTAGGGCTTGACTGTATTTTGCATACCCCAAGAAAATGAGTGGGCTCTGCCTCCACAAGTAGTTGGGTGTTACGTAGATTATAAATCATTAGTGATTGAGTCCAACTCACTAGTAATACATCAGTGTCATGCTGAGGAAAGAAAAGCACTTCCTGTGGAGTTCTTTAACCAAGAGTAAGTCCAGATTTGAATTCTCTCCAACATGCCCCCTGTGTCTCCTTCCTCTATTTTATGAATCTGAATCTTTGCCTGCCTGAGGCTCTCATTTGAACATGTCCCTTTGTCTGTCTGTTATCTATGTCTGTATATAAATACAGAGGGCTTTGCTCTGAATTTCTTGGACCGCAGACAACATTGTTTATCAGCCAGTATCCATAATGGTTGCTTCCAACCTTTAAGAGGTAGATTTGAGGAAGCTGTTTTCAACTTCTGTGTTGGCTGCTTTCAGCGAATGATGCACAGGCATGGGTCAGGGGCATGAAAGAGGACCTAAGATTGTAGCTGTGCATTAGCTTAGGTTGTAAAAGTTGATTACACTGGAAATCCAACGCTGTTAGGTTGAGTGTTACATTGCTCTTTTTTTTTTTTCCTTTTTTGAGACAGGGTTTCTCTATTGTTTTGGAGGCTGTCCTGGAACTCGCTCTGTAGACCAGGCTGGCCTCGAACTCACAGAGATCCACCTGCCTCTGCTTCCCGAGTGCTGGGATTAAGGGCGTGTGCCACCAACACCAGCTATACATTGTTCTCTTAAAGGCAGGTTAAACATACAGGCTGAACACACAGTAGGACAGCAGTTTTAGTCTTATGTGACCTCAAAGTATATTATTCATTTTGACTGTGAGATCCAGCGAAAGTTTCAGTCTCTTAGAATGTAAGAGATGTTCTCAGAATATTGTGTCACCACCTGGGCCATACCACCCTGGGTGAGTGATTTTAGTGTCTAGTAGTCTTAACAATCTCCACAGTGTCCTATTTACTTCATGTACGGTTAGATGAGATTTTTCTCTAATCTTTACTGGAAAGGAAATGATTACTTACATATTTTGAGAAAAAGATACTTGCAATTTTTTTAAAGGGTATCAACTTTTTTTTTCTAGGACCCACCCAAGAAATATAACACATTTAAGTGCAGTTTCTACCTGTCCTGCTTATTCTGATTCGGAAAGTCAGGTAATGGATACAATAAGTCAAGTGAATGGATACAATATACTATTTTTGTTAAACCTCAGGTTAAAGCTAAGAAGTGGGACTATGGCCCAAAGGTAAAGTATGGTTTTCACTGAGGAAGTATTTAGGCTGTTGCTTGAAGACATGTTCTCTACCAATAGTAAATTGCTTATAAAGAAATGTATTTGAGCAGGAGGTGGTGGTGCACGTCCTTAATCCTAGAATTTGGGAGGCAGAAGCAGACAGATCTCTGGTTCAAGGCCAACCTGGTCTACAGAGTGAGTTCAGGACAGCCAGGGCTGCACAGAGAAACCTGTCTTGAAAGACTGAAAAAGAAAAAAAAGGAAAAGAAATGCATTTGAAGTGGCATAGTGTATTTTATCTCTAACAGCCTTCTTCTTCTAGACAGAGACCGTGCATGGACTTGATGGCTGTGCTTCTTTGCTGCGGGACATTTTGAAAAATGAAGACCCAGGTTCTATTTTTAATGTTCTTTGCTGATCACCTTTTATCAGTGAACTAGTTCTTTTCAATGTTTACAGACATTGGATTTTATTGTTACAGGCTCAGATATGGTACATTTGGAAAATAGATGCAGCACCAGACCTTTAGAAAGCAAAAACTTCAGAGCTAAAAAGAAAGGACCTGGAAAACATACTCCTTCAGTGGTCCGAAAAGAAATATGTAAGCATTTTTCCTATATTTAAAGTGTGTGTGTGTGTGTGTGTGTGTGTGTGTGTGTGTGTGTGTATGTGTGTATGTGCACGCATGCAGAAATATGCACATTAGTGTGGTTGTGTAACCATTGCATACACGTGGTATCTGTCTCTCCTTGTCCACTCCCTACCTTTATTTTGAGGCATTGTCTCTCACTGAACCTGAAGCTTGTGGATCTGACTAGGCCTACTGGCAGTGAGCTTCGTGGATCCCTCTTTCCCTGCCTCCCCAGAGCTTAGGTTAAGGACTGTGCTATCAGCCCTTGCCAGTCTGGGATCCAGACTCAGGTTCTTGTGTTTGAACCGCAGGCACTTTACTGACTGAGCAACCTTTCTAACCCCTAGGCTGAAATTTTAACAATTTTGAAAATTGATATTATCCAATTATAAAAGAATTTTGGAATAATTTTAATGTATAAATCTACTCTTTCAACTATAAATTATATTTAGTCTAAATAGAGATGAAGTGTTTCTGATGACTGTTTAGCATCTGGTGTAAGGTGTACTTTGTGTAAACTATATACTGGATTTTGAAGATTTACTACAAAAAGTGTTTTGTTCTGGGCATTACACATTGAAATGTTAGTATTCTGGCTACATTTACTTATTTATTTTTGTGGTGTTGGAAATCAAATCCAAGGCTTTTTATGTGCTAGGCAAGAAGTATACTATTGAACTGAAGCCCCAACTCTGGTTACACTTAAGTAAAACATGAAAAGTAAGTCATTCTTTTAACTTTTTAGTGTGACTACTTAAAATTTTAAATTACTTATATTGCTTACATTATGTTACAGTTGGACAGTATCAGTCTTAACTAGGTTAGCACCATATAGCCAGTTGTGTTTTTAGAAACAGCATTTAATTTTATTTTGTAACTAAAGCTTTGTTAGAACCTACTGTTCATATGTTTTCCATGGCTGCTTTTATGCGGAGTGGTGATACTGAGTAGCTGTGCAGGAGACCATTTAGCTCAGTCCTTTAATGTCTCTGGCCTCTAAAGATTGAAAGAAGCTTGTAGGGAGGTTTGGGTTTTGTTTTGTTCTGTTTTGGTTTTTTTGGCACACTTGTTTGGAGTTTGTTAATTTATGTTGGATAGTGACATCTGCTGGCAGAGACAGAGAATGTGTAGCTCAGCTAGATAAAAGACTGCAGAAAGAAGAAGGAGGGCTAATGACTGGAGAACTTGAGCCTGTGAACATGAAATCAGAATTCCTCAGGTTAGACAGTTCTTAAGGAACAAAAGGAAGTCTAAAAAGAAAGGCCTAGAACTTAAAGAGAGGACAAGGTTGTGTGCTCTGTGGTTACGGACTATAATCTCCTGTTTTTCACTTTAGACTTCAAAGTTAAAATATTTTTAGAGGATATTTTTCTATTTTATTATAAAATTGTATTTTCGATAAAAACTGATACTTTATGGGAAATTATTAGCTAGTTTTGTTGTAGTTCATCTGATAGAGAAGATCCATTATTGCTATGGGTTTTAATCATCTCAGAGGGATCATGTTTAGATAGCAAGGTTTACTAATATGAAATATCTACTTATCTGGCTAATTTGAAGCTAGTTGATGATATAACATGTTGAGTTTTTTTACTATGTACCACATGTTGTTCTAAGAAGTTGCCAAATGTTATTTACATCTCAAGAATCTTGAGGTTGGTGATTTTTATTTGCATTTTACTCTCTGTAACAATGAGATTACATTAAAGTAGAAAAAGACAAGTACAATATTATTGATTCACTTTAACTGAGAGGGCTCCATCAGATAAGGAGTTCCCAGGCAAACAGTCAGTTTTTTATAATGTGTGACCAGTGTTGGGGATGGAGTTAAAGAATGACAGGGAAATTGAAGGAGTAAGTAGGGAACCTCGGTGTGAGGTAGTGATTGGTAATATTAAGCAAACTCACTCTTCCACTCTCAAAATTACAGAATACACCAGCCTTTCCTAAGGTTTCCATCTAGTAATGAAACATTAGGGAGGTGGAGGAGACTAATGATTATCCTTACCCCCCCCATCCCTGCCTTCAAGGTCTGTCTTATCTTAGAATTCTGTCAGGCTTCTAAAGTGTGGTCCTAAATTCACATTCACCTTCTAGTAGGGTTTCCCATACCCTCAGTGATGCCTATCAGAATTTAAAGATTCATTTTCTAAACATCAAACTACTCACATTGTTAAAATGCATATTGTGATTGTTTAATCATTGGAGGGACGCTCCAAATCAATCAGTTGATTTTTCTGTTCCCCTCATTAGATCTCTCTAGTTTTCTTGGACGTTGTCCCTGAAGATCCCATTTGGTGTAGGAGCTTTCCATAGCCATTTCAGTGGGACAGTGTGAGCCTTGTGCTCTTGAGGGTTGGATTGGAGCAAACAGCATGTTCTTTTGATCTTTAGAAAATGATCTTTGTCTCCTTGTGGGTCTTATATAACATGTTCCTCCATGTTCAGGCATTGCTTGTAACTGTCTTTTCTAGCAGTACATACAAGATTGCTGGTTTTGAAGACTTACTGCTGTGATAGTCTCCTGCATAGCGGGCAACAGACAGAGTTTGGACTTCTTCCCAGGAAAGATGAGGACAGGGCCTGCAAAAGCTGCACCTGCCTTCTGTGGTGCTTGGGTCTGTTAGGTGACTGTCCATGCAGATGCAGCAGGTACATTCTTTCTGCAAGACTGGGATGTCTGAATTCATTTTTGTAAGGACTTTGTCATCTCACCTATGCTTCCTGCAGAAGTAACAATATTATGTCAGAGTAGGAGTCAGGCCTCAATATCTCCAGCTAGCCCCAAGTCCACTCTGCTGAAGAAGCTGTATTTTAATCATTCTTTTAACCATTTTTCTAATAAGAAAGAGGAGGTAAATGAAGGTTAGGCAAATCCTCAAGCTAGTAAGTGGACATTTTAGTATATTTCCTTTAGTAGTCATAAAATGCTTATGTCGTGGAAATGGAATTGTGTCAAGATTGTTTGTGTCTTTTGTAGGTGCCACTCCAAGCTATTTTTTAAAGTCTATTTTGTATCCTGATAACTTATGATCTACTCTCATTTCTATTAATGCTATTTAGCAAACATTTGGGGAGGTGGGACCTTATTAGACAGGGAAATAGAATCTAGATTTTTTATACTAGTTACAGAACAGGGCTGTATCAAAAACTTTTTCATTCTTTAGCTTATTAATACCAGGCTTATACTTTGCACATACACTAGTGTGGGTTTTAATAATGAAGTGTAAGAAACAGCCCTGCCTAGAGAAGCTAGAGTTACAGAGGGCAAAGACAATAAGAAATAAGTGACACAGGCCAATATATATATGTATGATATATGATTTAAGTAAAAGGTTTGTGCTCTGGGATGGTAAAGAGCAGTTTAGAAAAAGCCTTTTAAAAAGGGATACAAATAGGAAAGGAACACACACACTTGTATGCAGTGGACAGAGAACAGCCTTGAGCTGAGACAGAACCTTTCATTGGCCGGGAACTTACCAACTAGGGTGGGCTGCTTGACCAGCAAGCCCTAGGGATCTGTCTGTCACTGCCTCCCCAGAGCTGGATAACAAGGATGTCACCATACCCTCCCTGCTCCCATTTTTAAAAGAAGGATTCTGGAGATCAAGCACAAAAAGAAAGACAGACAGAAAGAAAGAAAGAGAGAAAGAAAGAAAGAAAGAAAGAAAGAAAGAGAGAAAGAAAGAGCTTTCTGGAAGAGGAGCACACACATAAGTCTTGGTGAGGGGACTGCAATGGCAGAGATACTCCATCACAAGAATGTTATAGGAAGGCGAGCAAGGCTTCCTAGGTTCTATGCTGGCCTAGAGTGATGAAACATTCAGGTTTTGAGGGAAGAAGAGTTAAGAAAGTAGAAGATTGTTTCTTCATGCTTTCTGATTGTCACTGTTCTTACTGGTTGATCTCCTTTCCTCCTCCTCCCTACTTCTTTTCCTCCTCCTTCTCCCTTTCCCTTCTTCCTTCTCCCCCTCCTTCTTCCTCTTCTTCCTTCTTATGAAAACATAGAAAGTTATAGTGTCCCTTCTTTCCTATTCTGTTTCCCACTGAGAAGACCTGGACAAGGGACTGGGTGAGAGGCTTATTGAACTTCCATAATAATACAGTATCTATAACAGGTGTTATAACTGAAGGGAGATTTTTTTCAAGTAGCATTTAATGGAGATTTTAAGAAAATTAATCTGAATTTTGACTGGGGAAAGGAAACTTAATTCATTAAATACTATAAGCAGGTGATCAGTTGAACTACATCTGAGAGTCTTTTTTTTTTCCCCCAAGATATTAGGGTAAAAGTTGCTAAGGACTCATATTTAAGAACCTACTTCCTTTTTCCACATTAGTATCTTCAGAAAATAAGAAATGGCTATCTAATGAAGCTTCTACTGGAAGTGAAAGAGACACATCAGACCTAGCCCAGAATTGGTCATTACAAGACCATTACAGAATGTACTCACCGATAATATACCAAGCCCTCTGTGAGCATGTGCAGACTCAAATGTCACTGATGAATACATTGGCTTCAAAAAATGCCCCCAGTGGAATGCCTACTGCGTGTCATACTGTATCTGGTTTAGGTTAGTATGATATTTGAATTTCGAATGTAAGCCATGATTCTTTGTTATAAGCACTATAAAATGTGACTGATGCCTATGCTTTTTGTTTTTTGTTTTTTACTTCTTTTTAGAATCTCAGGCAACACCACATTCTGGTTATGGCTGCTCCACTTCCACTTCAGTCTGGTCACCTCAGCAGCCGTCCTGCCCTCTAATGGTTCACTCTGTGGGTATAGCTTGTATACTAATCAAGTCATAGCTTGCTTTTAGAAATGGTAATTTTAGCAGTGGAATATTGAATTTACTGATCAAATGTTCTAGGATGTAAAACCAATTTTATGTATTTTTTGCATTAGCAAAGTTTTACCTATTAAGAACAATAGGTGTTATTAAGAAGCAATCATAAGAAAGAAGAAATCAAGCCCAGCTAGCACCCTGATGAAGTGTGTTTTCACACATCTGTACATGTAATTTGCTGTTTCTTAAGTGATTTTTCTTTTTAAAATGAGAGCTATACTTTTATACATTTATATGTTCCCTTTTTTCACTTAATACATTAATACGACTATTTTCTTTCATTTGTTTGTTTGCTCATTTGTATTTTGAGATAGCGTTTCTCTGAGTAATAGCCTTGGCTGTTCTGGATCTTGCTTTGTAGACCAGGCTGGCCTTGAATTCACAGAGATCCGCTTGCTTCTGCCTCCTAAATTCTGGAATTAGAGGTGTGTGCCACCACTCCTGGCTGACTATGTTTTTTTAAATACATGCTCTTTAAGTAGTTAAAGCTGTGTTCTGTGGGTATTTTTCTTTTAAGATAAATGTCGTTGAGCTAAGTTGTATAATAAAATCAATAGTCTCTGATTTGATATTGAACTAACAGCTAGTTTTATTACTGTAGCATGTTCATATAATTCTGTATACACACATCCGTTTTTATTTCTGTGGTACTAAAAATTGAACCCAGCACCTTACACATGCTAGACAAGCACACATCCCTAACTGAATGTATCATTCTTAAAGTTGTGAACATATGGGTTTTTTAATAAAATATTTTTTATTATTTGTGGAGATTGTACCTGCACATTTGTCTGCAGCACCCTGCATGATTGCATTGGATTCCCTGGAACTTGAGCTAAAGAAGGTTGTGAGCAGCCATGTGGATTTTGGGACCTGAACCCAGGTTCTCTGCAAGAGTAGCAAGTACTCTTAACCGATGAGCTGTCTCTCTAGCCTCTTAGCTTACTTCTTATAACGTTTCTCAAAATGAAAATATTTGTTTCAGTCCAAATGTGGACTAATTTTTTGATGCCTTTAAAGCATGTATGGTATTTGTAAACAGTCTATTTTCATCATGGCCTTATAATGTTCCCATGTTGCAGAGAGAGCTACTTAAGCTCTAAAAAATTAGTCTTTGTTGTGCAGTGGAGAAATCTAGCTTGCTTGTAAGACAAGATATCACAAAATTGATTTTTAATAGTAGAAAATTATTTTCTAATATTATTGATTTGTGTTTTTATAGTCTACAAATGATTGTTCATACTTTTGAAGGTTTTTTTTTTCTTCTTGCTTAGGAAGTTCAGACTGATAGTGATAACCATCTTGGATCACAAGATCAAACAAGCTCTGTGAACTGCCCTGATGTTCCCAGGAATTCAGTTAATGTTCATCCTGGAATTCCGTGTGGCCTTCCCCACATTGACAAAGCAGCTGTTCCAACGCCTCGGCAGCTGAGTCTTGCTAATTGGATTCTGCCACAACAAAGAGCTCCTAAGGAAGCAGACCTACCAAAGTGTTTCCAAACACATATGTCTCTGTTTCCAGCTCATGGAAAAGACGCTCTCTCGGACAGTCAGGCACACCAAAGCCCCACTCAGTTACAGCCAGCCTTCTTGGCCACTAATGAAGAAAAATGCGCCAGAGAACAAATTGGAGAGGCCACAAGCGAAGGAAAATATTTAAGCATGCATGTGCAAGATGCAAAAATAGCCAAGAATGTACAGCAGGCAGAAAATGTGAGCCGCACTGCCGAAACAGTCAGAATTGCCAAGTGCTTGTTGGGAGAGCTCAAGGTCCTGGTCGCAGAACAAGGTAGATAAGTTTTCAAACTTTTCTGTAATGTAGTATAGTGCTTAATAACAGTGTTATGTTTTCTAGCTGTCATTCAAATGACAGTAATTGATAGGAGTGTCTGACGTTTTTCCTAATCCAGTAAGGAAAAGAGTTCTGTCTGTTGTTTCTTGAGACAGGGTCTCATGTAGTCTTAAGATGGCTTCCAACTTGCTCTGTAACTGATGATGATGTTGGACGCTTAGTCTTCCTCCACTGCCTGTGTGCTGGGGTCACGGCTGCTGGGGTTCCAGGCCTGGAACACTTCTTTCCTGTGGACTTGACATGTATTGCGGAATAGCAAGCACTTGCAAGTGTGTATTCATTCTATTTGATGTAGACAAGCTTGAAAAGATCCAGTACAAAGAATCCATAGAAAGAAAATTATAGTAGTGAGATGACTATTTTTCTGTTTAACAGAGATGCAAATTTACTTCTATTATTTAAGAACTAACTGTTAAATAGTTCAACAGATTTCACTTTGCATAGTAACCCATGCCACTTACTGGCCTTTTTATGTTTAGTATTTTTCTCTTTTACCAATAAAATGTCTTTGAGCCACTTTTATGTTTTCATTATGTATACATTTTTCTAAAGTAGTGCATTTTGCTTGGAATGAATTACAAATACTCAGAGCCTTGAGTAGAAAGCACAGTTAATTGATTGTAGAACTGACAGAATAGTTGCCATTTATACAGGCTGACATATATATACAGAATTCTAAAGTCCTTGAAAATACAGCACAGTTAAGAGGTAGATTAAGTTGCTAAAATTGTTATGTTTCCAGAGCTTCAGATTAGACAAGATTTTTTTTTCCTGTTTTTTGTTTGAGCTAGAGACTCACTGTATAGCTCTGGCTGGCCCAGAACTTGCTGTGTAGACCCAGACTAGACTTGAACTTACAGAAACCTACTTGCTGTCTCCCAAGTACGCCACCATACTTGGCTCTTTTTCCTCTTTTAACCAAATATTTAATCAAGATATCAATAATGATAGTAATAGCACCAGTGTTAGAAGTCTTTAATATTCACCATGGCCAGCAATGTGCTGTATTTCACATGGGTGACCTCACCCGAGTCTCACAGCAGTCTGATAATGGGCTCCACTTTAAGGAAGGAAATTGGGTTTTGGATAACAGTATCTCATTCTAATCTCACTAATCCAATGACAGACTGCTTTTTAGCTCTGTTTAACTATGAAGAAGCGTAGGCTTCAAGAGTGAAGTAATTGAAATGTTGGCCAAAGTATAATAAATAAAAAAATCTCAATTAAAGAGGAAGAAGGACTTAAAATCAAGAGATTTAATGTGCAGTATGGTGACTGACTGTAGTAAATAACAATGTAATTTTCAATTGCTAAGAGATTAGGTTGCCAGTCTTCTCACCACAAAAAGTTAATATATGAGGCAGTGCATGTCTATTAACTCAGTTTAGCTTTTGTAGTATACATACACAATTTGAAACATTTATATACAATAAATCATGCATTTGCTTCCCATTTCACTTAACTGAAAAAAATCGCTAAGATTGTGATTTAAGCTTCATCTTTCCTTACTCAATGTAACTTCTGTAGATTGTTCTGAGTAAGCAAATACATACAATAGGATAAAGGCAAATAGAATTTGTATAATACTCATGAATAATGAAGTTGAAATCTATAATGTATCTGTTTATCTATAAAGACTTTTAATAACACATGCTAATCGTCTTGTCAATTTAAAGCACTGATTTAACTAAACTGTCTTTTACAGAGGACTCAGAAGTTGAGAGATTGGTAGCAGAATTAGAGGCATGCATATCTGGACTTTTAACAGTGAGTGGCCACGCAAATATAGAAGTTGAAATAGCACTGGCCCTACAGCCACTGAGGAGTGAGAATGCTCAGTTGCGAAGGTAAGACATGCTCTTTCAATATTGTTGTCTAGAGGTAAAGGTGCCCCATGGCCAGAGCACAGATGCCAAAGAGATAGCTAGGACTCCATAAGGAAAGCAGATTACAGCTTTCTGATATTTATTCCTTTCCTTTCTCATCTTCCAAAGATTTCTACATTCTTCAACTTTTCAGTACTTCTGCCTACTAGGATACATTTTCTACCACCTGTTTTATCCTTGGCGTCACTTGTCAGCATGTACCTAGGAAAATGTAGCTGCTTCATGTAGTTTCTGTGTTAATCTAAGTTAGTTTAAAATAACAAACATCTAAGTCAAAGAAAAGGTGTATTCTTTCTTTCTCCTAGAATATCATGGGTCACCGAAGGCTCTTTTTCATCCTGACTCAGAATCTGGGATTCCTTTTACTTTATGAAGCCACTGTCTCAGTATATTTTACAGGGGACTGGTTGGGGATAAAGAGTGTGAATATACTAATCTTACATGTTTTCGACCAGAAGTAATCATCTCACTGTCCTTAACATTTTGTAGTTTAAAATCTAAAACCAGTCAAATGCTCCCTCCTAATACAAATGCCTGGAGCATATGGTCAGGGAAGAGAACCTTATGGGGGAGCTGAGTGCTTGTAGCCCTGCCACACTGAGACATAGAACAAAGTTTATTTGAATTCCTATATACTTTTTCTTTTTAGTCATACTAACTTAATGGGATTATATTCATAATTTGTTTAAGAAAGATGGAAACCAGTGAGGTAATGTTGAAATGTAGAGGAAATCACCCGTCTATTATCGGTATTGTTTTAACTCTGAATGTTTCTGGAATGACCACTAAAGCTTATAGTCTAGGATCTGTTGGTGTACTTTGCACGGGAGTTTGTTTTCAGATGCTTCTGCAGCTCTGCATTAAGCATGTGCCCTGACAGTGTCACCAGCAGGCTAGATGGGACTTGCAGGGACCTACAAGAAACCTGAAAACTGTAAAGAAGAATTCCTAGTTGGAGAGTAATTTATAGTCATGGGTCTGTAGCCTACAGAGATGACATCTAGTGAGACTTACTTGCTTAGGATAGTCAAGAGATCATTTATGGATAGTTGCTGCATTTAGTAATACTGTCATACTGTCATCAGTCCTGATTTGAGGGATTCCCATAACAGTATTAATCTTTCAAAATTAAAATCAAGAATAAGTAATATCGAATGTATAGCAGCTACTCGTAACATTTATTGAATGTTTGTCATGTTCTGGGCTATTTCTCTTTATATGTGTTGTCACTTGAGTCCTCCTAGTAGCTCTATGAAGTATTGTGCCATTTTCAATTAGAGGGGAGGAAACCAAGGCACAGAAAGGTTATGTCATTTGCTAAAATTTGTATGCTTAGTAATTGAGGGAATCAAGATTTAACTCCAAGATGATTTGATTTTAGAACACCAGATTTTAGCTATGGGCTTATTTTTGCAGAGCAAAAGAATAATACTAATAAATGCCTACTATTTAAAAGAGTGATAATCAAATAATCGAGTTCTTAAGCATACAAGAACCTAGTCTGAGAATATTATCATTTTAGCATTGTCACCATGGAAATGTCATTGTTCTCATTTCCATTCATCAAAGCATTTTAGAATTGCTGTAGGAGTTCATTTGTAAACTATTCATGAAAAGGAAGCTTACTCTTTAATTTGTCACTAGTTGTTTTTAATTTTTATAAGGGTAACTTAGAAAAATTAACTGATATCCACTTCTTTAGAATTGACAATAGAGATTTTTAGTTGTCTGTCCTTAGGGGAAAAAGACTGTATAACATTCTCTTGCCACTGTTACTTACTTGACCTTTTACAGGATAAAATTTCTGACAAATGAATAATTTGTTAGAGTTCCTTAGACTAGACTGAGACTTCCAGTAGCGATGGGGAATTTTATGCTATTTTGTAATCTTTATTTGGAAGGAATCATTCATAAATCTCATTATAAATAATAGCTAGAATTGGTAGACTTATTTAGAAGTAATTTTCATTTTTATCTTTGTAGATATTTGTAAACTACATGTTTTTAACTAGAAAATGGATCATTTCCCTTCCCACCCAACCCCCACACAACTTGAAGTGTATTGCCATCTTGTGGCAAAAAGAAAAACTGCTAGGTGCATTGCTTGTATGGCATTTTGAAATGTTTAGCTCTTATGGGATATTTGTTTGTTTTTTGTTTTTGTTTGTTTTTCAAGACAGGGTTTCTCTGTATTGTTTTGGAGGCTGTCCTAGAACTCGCTCTGTAGACCAGGCTGGACTCGAACTCACGGAGATCCGCCTGCCTCTGCCTCCCAAGTGCTGGGATTAAAGGCGTGCTCCATTTATTCTTCCTGTTCCCAACCCACAAGATATCTAATCTGTAATGCTTTGTTGAATTTAACTATAGAAGCCCCTAAAGATCCTGGATGGAGGTTCAGAGTAGACTATCTCATATTATAACCATCAATCTAGAGAGTACCTTAATATTTATAAGATGACTTGGAATTTATGATCATAGACTCAAATATAAGCTAATTAGAGTCCAGACAGAGCACAACAGTTTGAGAGCAAATGGGCAGAGTTGAGGCTGCCATTAAGATGTTTGTCTTGTCTTTTTGTTTCTTTTTCAAGACATGGTTTCTGTGTAGCCCTGGCTGTCCTGGAACTTGCTCTGTAGACCAGGCTGGCCTCGAACTCACAGAGAGGCCCTGCCTCCCAAGTGCTGGGATTAAAGCCGTGCACTGCTATCTCCTGACTTGTCTTCTTGACAGATAGTAGAATAGTACTTCCAGATGGGACCTCCTAGAGAAGAATGCATTTGTCTGATTGTCCCCTTCCACACTGTATTTTATAGTTAGGAGAGGTGGTTTGAGAGCGAGTGAGTTAAAATTTAGATTTATTCTGTTGTATGGAGAAATGAGTAAGTCAGAACTTAAGAACAAGATCCAAGCCAGAAATGTAGATTTGGGAATTTGAACACTTTTACAGAGCTTTGACCATGGGTCTGTCCTTGTAGGCACTGGAGAAGATGGTGGCTAAATGCAAGTAATTTGTTTTTAGTATCTGACTGATGAATTCACCAAGCAGATATAGACCAGGAACACAAGATTAATTGTGGGGAATTACAGCTATACAAGGACAGAGCAAAAGAAAAACAGCCATGAAAAACGCTAGGGAGAAACAATAAGGAAAGTAACAAGAAAACTAAGATACAAGCCACAGACAGAAAAGATGATAGGAGAGAATGCATGTAACATTCAGAGAAAGGAGCAGCAAGGACGAAGATGGGTCTAGAGTAGACTTCTTTTTGTGTGTGATTGTGTGTGTATTGTGTGTTGTGTGTTTTGTTTTTTGTTTTTTTCAAGACAGGGTTTCTCTATGTAACAGCCCTGGCTGTCCTGGAACTCACTCTGTAGACCAGGCTGGCCTCAAACTCACAGAGATCCACCTGCCTCTGCCTCCAGTGCTGGAACTAAAGGTGTGCACCACCAACACCAGGCTTTAGAATAGACTTCTTAAGACAAAAATCACCCCCTCCCATGCAGTGAGTCATGAACAATGTCCCATAGTTTGTAGTTGGCTCTCTGGTGGGGGGTGCAGGGGACAGGACACAATGCTCTGCACAGGGATACTTGTGTAGACCAGACAAAGATGTTGAGTGCCTTCCTCTGTGACTCTTTATCTTAGATGGGACTAGAGTTGAACCAGAAGACTGCTGTTTTGCTAGGCTGGCTGGCTAGTGAGCTCGTCTCCACCTCCAAGTCCTGGGGCTAAGATCATGCACAACCATACCCAGCTAACTCCCACATACTTACCCAACAAGCTCTCACCTACCTACTGAACCACCCCCGGGCCTGTCATACCATATTTTAAGGACAAATGAGAAAGTATCATACTTAGAGGACAAGGGTGGCCATGGAAGGCTTGTAACGAGTGATAGAAAGTGCACCTTGGCTAATGTTTCAGAAGAGAAGAACCTGAATTAGCAGCATGCAAAAAGATTGTGAAAAACATACAAACATTCTCCCATATATGTACCTGCTAGTTTTCTGGAAAATACCAGTAGAGGCTTTCTGTTTTATGTTCTTGGTCATCACTCTGTGCTGCCCTTTCCAGATCTGCATGTTTTGTTATTGAAGGGAACCCTTTAGAAAAAAAAAAAATCAGTGTTTTGTCTACCTCTCATTATTTCCCCCCTTTTTTTTTTTTTTTGTTTTTTTCAAGACTGGGTTCCTCTGTATTGTTTTGCAGGCTGTCCTGGAACTTGCTCTGTAGACCTGGCTGGCCTCGTACTCACAGAGATTTTCCTGCCTCTGCCTCCCAAGTGCTGGGATTAAAGCCATGCGCCACTAACGCCTGGCTTACTTTTTACTTTCTGGTGTGTCACGGAGGTTTGTTTTGTTTTTTCCAGTAGTGCATATTGAACACAAAACCTTGCACATGCCTCGCAAGTGCTGTATCACTGAATGTTCCCAAGTCCTTTTTGGTGACCTTTCTGTGTCAGTGTATATATATATATATCTTATTCTTTTTCAATATCTATATTTCATCATCTGCATGAACCTTAACTAGTATCATTTTCTTGTCAAATATTACAATATATATCTATGTTTTACATGCTTTTGCATATATATTGCTATTTCTCAGAGTAAATAACCTATAGGTAAAACTAGCTTGTGTGGGAGATGGGGAGAGGGCTTAGTGTTTACTGCTGTTGCTGAAGACCCAAGTTGGCTACCCAGGACCCACATGACAGTTATAGCCATCTGTAACTCCAATTCCAGGGATCTGACACCCTCTCTTTGCCTCATTGGTGCTAGGCATACATGTGGTACACAGACATGCAGGCAAAACACCCATGCATATAAAATGAAATTAATCTTAAAAACTGTCAAAAATGACATATATTTTATAGCTTGGATGTTGCCAAGCTACCATCCAAATGGTTACGATAAACTCCCACAGACTGAGAAAATTTCCCTAAACTGTCACTAATGAAGAGCTATTTATTTTCCTTTTTAAAAAATTTGTATGTTTTTTAGTCTGTGTGTGTTCTGTACATTCATGTATATGTGTACATGTGGAGACCAGTGGCGATGCCCAGCTTCTCATGTGGGCACTAGAAATCCAAACCCAGGCCCTTTATTTCTGTGGTAAGCCATCCTTTACCTCAAGCTAAGCATTTTTTAAATGCTCATAAATCATTTAGCTTTCTTAGATGAATTGCTTATTCTTTTTCCAGGACTTCAATTCTAAAACAAGCTTCTTAATTTGATGGTTGTTGGATTTTAAATTTTGCCTAAAGATGCCTTCCTTAGTTAAAGGTTATTTATATTTCCTTACAAAATTTGTGTTGGTGGTTTGTGTTACTGATATATTTTGTGTTCTTAACTCTTTAATCTAGCCAGAATTAATACTTGTGAATGGTTTTTGGCAAGAGTACTATCATTTTAGATTCAGTAACTAAATCAAATTCTTCAGTTCAGAAAGTTTCCAATTCTGGAAAGACACTAAATACCAGAGAGTTTATGCTTTGTCATGATCATATTTACATATTCTTGTTTGTGAAGCAGGTACATATCATGAAGGCAGAGTTGATACCAACATCTACTAATTAAATTACTGAAAGCATAGATTTATATGTTCCAACCTTGTTAATGTATCACAGGCATGAAGCAGAAATATGTCTGGTAGTTGGCACCTGCAGGTATTCTAATTGACAGAAATTAGTTATTTTAAAAGGTAATCTACCATAGTAAAGTACTGTATATGTGTATATATACATGCATATGTATTATTTTGAAAGGAGATATGAAGCAAAGATAAGGAAAACAAAGGAACCAGTGGGGCATGGTGGGGCATGAGTATTGTCCCAGCACTTCAATGACTGAGGTAGGAGTATCTGAAGTTCAGGCCACCATGAGCTACAATGCTGAGTTACAGGTCAGTGTTGGAACTTGGGGGCAGATTTGATGTCCTGAATAATTCTACAACTATCTGTCCTAAGTCTGGTGATGTGGACCTGTAGTCCAGCTGCTCAAGATACCGAGGCCGGAAGATTACAGGTTCAAGGCTAGTCTTGGAACTTTGATTGAGAGTGAATATATATGGATCTGGATATAAATATAAATATAAATATCCAGATCCATATATATGGCTATAAAAGGCAATTGTTTGGGCAGGGGATGTTGGTTTGGGGTTTGAGATGGACTGGTGATGATAGTGTTGTTTGTCTTTTCTGGTAGATTTATTTATTTTTGATAGTATATCAGGTGAATATTATAGCAGACTTTCTTTTGAGCCACTAGCCAGTTCCCAGACTGTGACAGGGAAGACTTACTATTTATAAATGCTCAGCTCTTATTTTAATGCTTTTCTTTAGCCACGTTTTGCCTCTAGGCTTTTTACCTTTCTTTCTGTATATCTTACTTTCCTGCTGTCTCCATGGCTGACTGGCTGGCAGCTGCTTAGTTTTGGGGCCCAGGTGTGTCCCCTCTCTTTCTCCCTTGTTCTCTTCTTTTGCCTAGATTTCTCCTCCTTATTCTGTCTGCCCACCAGCCCCGCCTATCCCTCTCCTTCCTAGTTATTGGCTGTCCAGCTTTTTGTTAGACCAATCAGGTGTCTTAGACAAGCAAGATGAAACAAATACAACACATCTTTGCATTGTTAACAAAGACAGCAGAAACAAATGTAACACATCTTTACATAGTTAAATATTCCAGGATAATATACTGTAAAGTGGGCTTAGGATTCTTATAGATCTTCATTATTTCCTTTAGGCAACTAAGAATTTTGAATCAGCGCCTCAGAGAAGAAGAGAAAACTCCAAAGGCACCTGGTAACCTTGAATGTGCGTAAAAGAACTTTAAGGATTGAACCTGATGTCCTTGCCACTCTGGAAATGTTGGTGCAGGCTTGTACTCTCAGTTCCTTTGTCTAAGTGGGAGTAACTGTATTATAGTTTTAAACAGTTATTGGGTATTCTTGTAATCCCAGTATTTGTGAGGCAGGAGGATTTCCACAAGTTTGAGGCCAGCTTGGGCGACATCAAGTACTACCCCAGCCAGAAGTGTATGCAGTAAAACCTATCTATTTGGGTATTTTCAGCCTTTCCCACAATGTGAACAATAGTAAAATGAAAATCTTTGTTCTAGTGTCTGTGCACATACATATACATTTTGCAGGATAGGTTTCTAGAATTACTAAACCAAAATGTATATATAGCTGCTGTTTTGACAGATATTGTCAAATGACTTTTATTTTTTTCTGTTGTTTTCTTCTAAATGGGGCTCAGGCTACCCTTAGACTTCTAGGCTCAATTATCCTCCCTCCTTCCTCAGTCACTGGAACTACAAGGTTAATACCAAATTGTCTTAATGGATCACAGAGCTTCATAGAGAAAGAAAGAGTGTAAGAACAGAGCAAACTGAAATCAGCAAGAAAGGACACCAAATCATATACAAAGGCAGGCCCATCAGAATAACAGAAGATTTGTCAACTGAAACATCAAATGCCAGGAGGGTCTGGAAAGAGAAATTTCAGGTTCTGAAGAATAGCATTGCCAACATAGACGACTTATGAAAAAAATTATCTCATAATTGAGAATTGTTTGGTGGCATCTTTGGCATTTTGTGGAGCTTAAGATACTTTGCATGTGTATTATTCATTTGTTTTTAAGGTTAAAAAAAACCCTTATGACTAAAATATCAATTGGAAAAAAGACATTACTCCTGCCATTTAATTTTTTAAAAATATATTTAGTATTTATATAGCATTGTTTGTACATTGTTATTATTGAAGGAAATCAGTGAAGTTAGGAGCTTTTATTTTTCTAAAACCAGGTATTTTTTTAGATGTGTTTTAAAATTCGGAAACAACTGTTTGATGTTTATTTTATAGTGCTTTCCCTTCAGTCGTTGAATATGTCACTGCAAAATCAACTACAAGAGTCACTGAAGAGCCAGGAGTTACTACAGAGTAAAAATGAAGAACTCTTAAAAGTGATAGAAAACCAGAGAGATGAAAACAAAAAATTTACAACTATGTTTAAAGACAAAGAGCAAACTCTTCTTCAGAATAAACAGCAGTTTGACATTGAGATGACAAGGGTAAAAATTGGTGTGTATTTGAACTGTAGATATAGTCTTTGCTTCTAAAGTGGTAAGGGAGCTGAAGGGGCCTTTGTTGTTTGCTTTAGAATTGGAGGACGCCTTGGCCAATGAGAAGAACTCTCGGTTTAAATTAGAGACTGCAGAAAAGGAAAATCAGATACTGGGAATAACACTACGCCAGCGTGATGCTGAGGTTGCTCGACTTAGAGAACTAACCAGGTAAACTCACTTCCTGTGGGTAACCCAAGCCTTTTATTAGATGTCTTTATAAACGTCAAAACCACACGGACCTCCTTTCTTCCTCATCCCCCCCTTAGGAACTCCCCCCCCCTTTTTTTCTTTTAATTTCTAATGCTTTGTTCTATTTTACATTAGAGATTCCAGACTTATCTAAAGGCTTTTTTAAACCATGGGGTTGTAGATTATGGGTAACCAGTTGGCTCCGACAAAAAACTGGACACTGTATAGTGAAGTAGTTAGGCTTCCAGGCTCTGAGACCAAAGAGACCTGCATGGATTCTCCTCTGTGCTACATATTAGCTGAGTCATTCTGTGCACATTATTTAATCCCTCTAAACCTCAGTTATAAAGTTGACATGAATAGAGTTGTCAGGGGAACCACAAAATAACTCATGATGTGCATCTGACGTGCTAAGTCGTCCTACCATATAATATTGGGTAGGTCATTTAACCTCTTTGACTTTTTGTTTTTCATTTCATCATTGAGGGATTTGGTCACAGGCCTTAAAATGTCTTCAATCTTTACTCAGTCTCTTCCCAAATAAATAAATAAATATATCTTACTTTTTATACTTTTATAGAAACCTTACAAAAATCAGTTTCCTTTTGAGACATTTGGTAATCTTTGGATTCTCAACTACTTTTAAACATTTCAGAGTAGTCAGTAATTATAGGTGTAAAATCCAGTAGACCTGACTATTCTTTTAATGATTCTGGAAGCTCATTGTTCCAGATGATCATTTTGAATTATAAACTTTTTGAGGAATAGATGTCCATTATATATAAATTATGTGTTATATATACTCTGAATAGTTTTATGAAAATACTTAATATAGTAATTCTGCTTTACTTTAGCATACCACTTACTAGGCTGATTTTTAACTAAGAGGTTCAGTTTGCAATGTTGCTCAAGAATAAAGTATTTCTATACCATAAAGAAAAAAAATTATGAGCTTTTACTTTTTGTGTGGTAGTAGATTGATATAAATCAAGATCTTTTTTAAACCATGGTTATTTTAATTTTCTGTTGTCAAAGCCTTCCAACACTAATTTTCATTCTTAAGTCCTTCTTTTAAAGGGTAGAAATATTAGAAATGAGCTAAAGACTTGGGTAAGACAAATAGTAATTACTGTACAACATTCTTCTCGGCAGAACTTTACAGAATAGTATGACGAAGCTGCTCTCAGATCTCAGTGTGGACACTGCCCGCTGCAAGATGGGGAGTAACCTCACCAAGTCACTTCTGAATATTTATGATCAACAGCTTCAACAGGACCCAACCCCTCCTCACACTTCCATAATGAGCTACCTAAATAAACTGGAGACAAATCACAGCTTTGCACATTCAGAGCTCCTCACAAATGAGGAAGCCACAGAGCCACACAAACTGTGTGAAAAGGTGCTACCCTCACAGGGTCCTCCACAGAGTGACACTAGGGCAGTGAATGGGGGGTCTGCACCTGGAATGGCTTCTGCTGCTTTAGTAGAGGATTCAGATACAGAATGTGAAACTATTGCTTCAATAGAACATGAGTGTAACGTGGACAGTACACTTTACATTCCTTTTGCAAGAAGCACTTCTAAAAAGCATTCACCACTTTCTGAGAGACTGTCTCCCCAGCCAATGAAAAGTGTTGCTACAACACAGCTAGCCAGCGTCAATGCACTTTCCTCTAAAAGAGAACATAGACTGTGTGCACCACAAGTTTGTTCTTCACTAAACGAAGCAGAAGATGTGCCTGGGAGTCTTTCCAGAACATCTGACACAGAGGACATGCAGCTCCTCAGGAGAATAAAGGAAGCAATTGGTAAGATCCCTGCTGCTGCTCCTGCAGGTACTGAACACCCAAAGGAACAGGCCACACATGGGCCATCAGCTTGTCGCTGCCCTGGTGTTCCTGTGGCAGGTAACATTGTCAGTGATGTCAGCTTTCTGAATTCGGACTTGATGTCAGACTGGAGCATCTCCTCTTTTTCGACATTCACGTCTCATGATGAACAAGACTTCAGAAATGGCCTGGCAGCCTTGGATGCCAACATTGCTCGACTCCAGAAATCCTTAAGGACTGTGAGTTTGGAAGAAAACTGATTGAGTGCATTTTGTTAAAAGTAGAATTTGTCTACATTCATAGTATATTTTAGGTTTCCTTACAGAGAAGTTTTATACTATTAATTATGTACGAAATAATAAATGGAATAAATTTACTGTTAGAATATTTTAACACCTGAAGCCTTACAAACAAATTTTCTTAAGAAATTAATGATTGCTAGGAGAAAAAAGTTGTAGCTAGCTAAGCAAGTGTTGTGCTTCACTATTTCACAGAGAGTCTTCACTGCTGGGTCAGTGCTGCAGGTACCGAGGACTCTGGCCGTCTGAAGGACGGGATTAAAGGTGTGCACCATCACCACCAGGCTTCTTGTTTATATCTTAATGACAGTGTGCTTGTATGTTTTAGGCTATGCTGTGGACGACATGCATTAACATGTCAGAGAGAGAAAGGTACCAGTGTACCTATTTCATATCATACAATTAGTTGGTCCAAGGAAATATATGTGATACTTAAATCTTTGGCATTTTATTTATATTTGTCCTGAATGTACATTTTAACACCTTTCAAAAATAAAGTCAGACTGATAAGGTAATGCTAACAACTGAGTTTTACCTTAATAATTTTGGTTTTTAGTAAGAATTATTTAGATTTTTCTTACTGTCTTTGAGAAAATGATAGTTGCAAATCTCAGCATTAGTGATAATTCTGCCTTTGTGGCCCAATTTTCCCCATTGTTAGCAGCCCTTTGTCTTGCCATGTAGCCCAAGATGACCTCAAACTTTAGATCTTCCTGCCACAGCCTCCTGGTGCTGCAATTACTTTACAGGTGTGCAATGCATACACCAGCACTTATTAACCACCTGCTGTCACCTCTTCCTGTATAAACATTTTAACTCTTGGAAGCTAGGTCTTGTGCTGCTGGTAACTCTTAGTACAAGTCACCTAATTTGTTACTTGAAGCATTCTGCTGGTTCCAAGATTTTCCTCCTGCTGTATTTTCATAGTTCTACAACCTCCGAAGGACCAGGATAGTATTTTTTTTGTTTTGTTTTGTTTGGTTTGGTTTTTACGAGACAGAGTTTCTCTGTATTGTTTTGGAGGCCATCGGTCCAGCCCTGCCTCGAACTCATAGAGATCCGCCTGCCTCTGCCTCCCGAGTGCTGGGACCATGATAGTATTTAATATATCCAGACTTTAGAGAGGTTTTTTTTGTTATGAATGTATTAAACTGATTTGTAAAATATTTTCATAGACTTGTTCGTTAACATTTAAAATATGATTGCTTCCAGTATTCATATGTTAATTTGTTTACTTATTTGGAGGTAACAGGTCACAGCTCTTCACCATCTAAGAAGAAACACAAAATAAACACAAGAAGAAAACTGGGTCATCTTTCTGCTCTCAGATATCAACTGTTACTCATAAACACAAGTAGGTTCCGGGAGCAGTTAGGTGGCTTGGCAGGTAAGGGTGCTAGTCACATAGTACCTGACAACCTGAGTTCAGTTCCTGAACCATGTGAGGGTGGAAGGAGAGAGCTGTGACCCCTAGAGTGTCCTCTGCCTTCCATATGTGCACCGTGGTAAACCCATGTCCACACACTTGAATGTGTAGACTAGTACGTTAAAAAGTAATTCCTTAAGATCTCTTAAGTGATAATTCTGAAGATACAGAAAGAAAGTTTCTCTTACTATTGTTGGCAACACTTCATTTCTATGATCTCATAGGTATTTCCCCTCACCAGCCAGCAAAGAGTTGGTTCTGCAGAAACACCAATCCAGTTCAGACACTCGCCCTGGAGGCTGTGGTCTCAATGCCAGCAGACAGACACCTGCTTCAGATGCTAGTCACAAGTCCACAACTGACCAAATAGCTGTACATCAGGGTTCCTATGAGCCCCTTAGTAGACTTGATCAGTGTGCTGGTTAGTTTTTGTCAATTTGTTATACACCTAGATCTGTCTGGAAGGGGGAAATACTAATTGAGAAATGTCTTTGTAAGATTGTCCTGTATGCACATCTATAGGGTATTGTCTTGTGCCAGGCCTTTTCTTTTTGGGCCACCAACCAACTCCCAAATCATGACACAGAGACTTCTTATTAGTTATGAATGCTCAGCCTAGCTTAGACTTGTTTCTGGCTTCCTTTTTTTTCTTTTAACTTACCTGTTTCTCTTTTTGCCTCAGGGCTTTTTACCTTTCATTCTTTCTGTATATCTTACTTTCCTGCTGCCTCTATGTCTGACTGGCTGATAGCTGTCTGGTTTCTGGCCCCGGGTGTGTTCCTCTCTCCCTCATTCTCTTCTCATTCTCTTGAGCCTAGATTTCTCCTATTTATTCTCTGTCTGCCAGCCTGACCTATCCTTTCTTGGCCTAGCTATTGGTTGTTCAGCACTTTATTAGACCAATCAGGTGGCCTTAGGCAGGCAAGGTGAAACAAATGTAAAACACCTTTACATAGTTAAACAAATGTACCATAAGCAAATGTAACATACCTTTAGACAGTTAAAGTAATATCCTGCAGCATATGCAAGTGTAGCAACACACCTTTGCTCAGTTAAAATAATATTCTGCAAAATTATTTTGATTACTGATTGATGTGGGACGGCCCAGCTTACTGGGGACAGTGCCATCCCTGGTCAAGTGGTCTATGGTTGCATAAGAAAAGCTGATTAACTGAATGGTCGTAGTAGTGGTGGCACATGCCTTTAATTCCAGCACTTGGGAGGCAGAGGGCAGTCAGATCTCTGAGTTCAAGGCCAGCCTGGTATACAAAACAGGTCCAAGACAGTCAGGGCTGTTACACAGAGAAACCCTTTCTTGAAAAACCAAAAAGAAAAAACACTGATCAAATGCTATGGGGAGCAAGCCAGTAAGCAGTATTCCTCCTTGACCTTCAGTTTCTGCCTCCGGGTTCCTGCCTTGACTTCCTGACCTAATTCCTCAGTTATGGAGTACGACCTGAGAGTTGTAAGATAAACCCTTTCCTCCCAAGTTGCTTTTGGTCATGGTGTTTTATCACAACTAAGTAACTAAGCTTGCGAGTGCAGCTCATAAAACTCAAGAAAACACGCAGGTTTATTGTAAAGGATATAAACTGCCAGAAGAGGTAGATAGGACAAGTCTGGAAGGAGCTACCTACAGCTTCTGACCCCATCAACTTGGTGTACCCTGTCCTCTAGGTGCATGGATTTGTTCTTGTTTTGCTTCCTAGAAGCCACATAGTCCAGTAGCCTAAAAGCTCTCCCTACCCTGTCCTTCACTGAGATGTCTTTGCAGGATCACTATTGAAGCATAGACAACTACATAGATAGTGGTTCTTACCCTTCCTAATGCAATGCTTCAACACAGTTCCTCATGCTGTGATGACCCCAACCATAAAATTATTTTGGTTGCTATTTCATAACTGTAATTTTGCTGATTATGAATTGTGATGTAAATATGTTTCCCAAAGGTCTTAGACGATTCCTATGAAAAGGTCATTTGACCCTGAAAGGGGTCACATCCCACAGGTTGAGAAACACTGATAACACAGATAAACGATTGGACAAAAAACTAATGCTAACAGACCAAGTGAGGAAAGCCCAGCAGGACTGTTTACATTCTTGGCTTCTGTACAGCATTCCTCCTCCTGGGTATGATGGGCTGAAATGAGTCTTATGATCTACTATCAGAGAAAGTAGGTGAGAATTCAATATAGGGGGAAGATTTTTCATTCGGTGATGCCTTGGGGGAAAATTCCAGTTCTGGTCTAGGGGGAGTGGAAGAAACAAAGGTTAAAAAAAACAACCAAGGCAACACTCAGTGCGTATTTCCCCCTCACTTTAAGTTAAATCCTTTTCCATAAATCTATACTTATTTCTAATAATGACATTTTATTGGTGATGAGTGTCTTAGGGGTTCTAAAGGCCTGCTTTAACCACATGGGAAAGTAGGGCAGAGTTCCAAATCCTACTTTGGTAAAAAAGCATGTAGTCGCCGGGCAGTGGTGGCGCACGCCTTTAATCCCAGCACTTGGGAGGCAGAGGCAGGCGGATCTCTGTGAGTTCGAGGCTGGGCTGGACCGACAGCCTCCAAAACAATACAGAGAAACCCTGTCTCGTAAAAAAAAAAAAAAAAAGCATGTAGTCAACGTAAAACAACCAAGTATGTAACAAGGCTCCCCATGTGGTGATCCCACAGGATGCATAGTGAAGGAATTGGCTTGAGTTTTCACTTAAGTCAGGGGCCCATTTCTAAACTTATAAACACAGGACTTTCAGAATCTAAGCAGGCAACCAGTTAGAATTGGATTCTGTTGGCACAAGCATTCTCTTAGTCATTCAAGTCCATTGGTTTCTATTCAGACTTACTAAGATTTCTAAGAATAAAACTCACTTTACATATGAAGCCTCACATTGTTCTCCCCATGTTTTAAAACTCAACTTGGGGGAATTGGGCTTAAATTTACTTAAAGCAGTTGATCTGAACTTTGGGCCTCCCAAAGAACTACAAAGATGCTAACTAACATCTTGGAAACTTGTAAAGAACTTACAGGCTGAGTTTCAGAATCCTTTAAAAGCCATCTTCATAACTAGAGGGAGTCCCTTCTATAGTAACAGTACTGGAGAGACCCCAAGCACATCCAGTATCCATTTTGCTCAGTGACAAGTTCCTGCTCAAACCCACCATACTGCTTGTGTCTGCCTCATTGATACTTGCTGGTTCACATTCAGGTTTCTCTACCCTGCATGATCTCGAGGGCAAGGACTAGGATTTACTCAGTTTTCATTTCCTGTGGCACTTGGTAACTGGCATAAAGAAGGTGTTAGTGACTACTCTCAGACTTCACTAAGTCCCTGACCAGTGAGCTATAGTCTAGGTGTCCCTGGATGTTTTTTACTTGGTGTCACACACACATAACAGTTTGTTCATTGCTTTATTACACCTAAATTGCTAGCCTTAACCTGCTGTTTGGAAATCTTATTCTTTTATTATTATTTTTCTGAGGCAGAATTCATTTTGCTAGTAAACACTTGCACACTGCTGTGCATGTGTTGAGAAAGTATAGATTCTTTAAATATTTACGAGAGGAAAGAGGACAGAAACTTAATCATATCGTCATTGCAGCCTTCCTGACTGATTTGTATGAAGAATATATGGAGGCAAAGCTTTTGAAAACTGAGCACTGTGTAATCTGCAACTTGTGGCATTTAAAGAGCTCTTATTTGCCATTCTGCTTGCCTTTGTTCTGATGTAGGCCAGTTTGTCAATGAGTCTTTTAAAATATAGATCCAGCAATGATGAGTAGGTGTGATCTGATCAAATAAAATGCAGGTCTATTGATGTTTCCTATAATCTTATTACAGTTGTCCTAAATGGGCAACTGAGTTGGCTATCTAAGCCATCATATCATACTATAGATCATATTGGGGTTGCAGTTTCCAGATGATCACATTGTCATTCCTGGAGTTAAAGTGGCATCATGTTAGGATGGACATTTCCCCAAGGCCTATGGTGCTGACCAAATAAGTAATCCATTGTCCTTACAGAAAAGCTCACATTTACTGCAAAGCCAAAGTACTTCATTCTCCTTGAGAATAGGGAAATGACTAGAAATA